CCAAAGAAATTAGCAGCGCACTAAGGAACCTATCCCAAGATAACTCAATGGAGTGCTAAGGAACCCATCCTGGAGTCCATATATTTTAGCAGAGCTCTAAGGAACGTACCCCCCCCCCCCAAAAAGTCAAGGGATGGGTACCACAATGGTACATTTCAGGAAGCTTCCCAGGGCTAAAACCTGCAGAGCTCTTTCCTCCGCTAGGTAGAGGAATGTGTTACTAGTTTAGCCGCAAGCTATCTGACTGAGAGAGCCGCTCTGATCCTGGGGCTTACGAGCGTGCGCTTGGTGATTTGTAAAGGGGGATTTGAGGCTTTAGTGTGTGTGTGTGTTAGTGTGTGTGTGCGTGTGTGAGGACTAGCGGCGGTTCCTGTAGCTACTCCACCAAAACAAGACGGCCTGTCAGCTCCTTTTCAAAGAACGCCCACCTGTGTTTGCTACTGTTCAGAACAAAGAGAGGAAAGACAGCCGAGTATTTCACATGAATTATTGCAGCCTGCAGCTGGAGTTCCTGCTTCAACAGCTCTTTAACAGCAGACCAACCCACTATACACTCCCCGTCCACTTTATTAGAAACACCAATCATGTGCTTCCTCTCACTGGCCACTTTATTAGAAACACCTACTTTGTGCTTCCTCTCACTGGCCGCTTTATTAGAAACACCTACCTTGTATTTCCACTTACCGGCCACTTTATTAGAAACACCTACCTTGTGCTTCCACTTACCGGCCACTTTATTAGAAACACCTACCTTGTGCTTCCACTTACCGGCCACTTTATTAGAAACACCTACCTTGTGCTTCCACTTACCGGCCACTTTATTAGAAACACCTACCTTGTGCTTCCACTTACCGGCTACTTTATTAGAAACACCTACCCTGTGCTTCCTTGCACTGGCCACTTTATTAGAAATACCTACCTTGTATTTCTCCTCAGTGGCCACTTTAATAGAAACGCCTACCTTGCGAATCCACTCACTGGCCATTTTATCTGAAACACCTACCTTTTGTGTCCACTCACTGGCTACTGTATTAGAAACACCTACCTTGTGCTTCCTCTGACTGGCCACTTTATTAGAAACACCTACCTTGTGTTTCCACTCACTGGCCACTTTATAAGAAACACCTACCTTGTGTTTCCACTCACTGGCCACTTTATTAGAAACACCTACCTTGTGCTTCCACTCACCGGCCACTTTAATAGAAACACCTACCTTGTGTTTCCACTCACTGGCCACTTTATCAGAAACACCTACCTTGTGTTTACGCTCACTGGCCACTTTATTAGAAACACCTACCTTGTGCTTCCACTCACCGGCCACTTTATTTGAAACACCTACTTTGTGCTTCCACTCACTGGCCACTTTACTGGAAACCCCTACGTTGTACTTCTTCTCAGTGGATGTCTAACACAAACTGGAAATGGTAGCTAGCCTGTTTTACAGTTTGAGAATTGTTCTACAAGTCAGAACCGAGTCTTACTAATAAAGGCTGAGCGGCTTATTACCAAGCCGCAGTTCGTCATTAGGCACCGGGAGGCCGGCGTGTGCGGGAGCGTGATTTCTGTCACGTTTACGTTTCCAACATGCGCTCACTCCATTAAAAAAGCAAATAAACATTTCACTGCGAACGGCAGAATAACGGCGGCGCTGCCTAATGAGCTAATTAAAAAGCCATAAACAAGTCCACTCCCTGACTCAGCCCTTCTCGTTTTCTTTCTCTTAATATCAGAGTTTTTATGTGCTCCATGTTTCCGGAGGGACTGCTGTGTGAAATATGTGTGTTTATTCAGCCACGCTAATCTTCAAAGATCACTTTAAGAAGATGAAAACCTGTTTGCAGCTGATTTATTCCTCTATGTGGTGCGTGTTAATAGTAAATTTCCCTTTTTCATCCTCTTATAACACATTTTAGACTTACAGAAGATACAGTCCTCTGGTCTTAGGATGCTAACTCAAGCTAACTGCTGACTCCTGTATGAACCGTCGCGTTATTGCCGTAACCGCACAGCGGAGACCCCTGTGTCTTTTCCAATAACGGCCTCGTGCTAATGTAGGCTGTGTTGTGGTGCCTCGGCATAGCTGAGCCATGACCGGATCGAGAGCTGAGTGCAGTTTGGAGCGGTTTTAGCATAGTCGGGGCTAGCATGGTTTGGGACGGGCCCAGCTAGCGCTTAGTGCTTTTACCCAAGTGCACTGTACAACTCTGTCTCTCTCTCATCTCTGTATCTATCTCTATTTCTCTCTATTTCTTTCTCCCTGACGGGACAGGCCGTGCCAGCGATGCTCCGATAGCCTGATGGAAAGCCTCTTTTGCTGCGGTAACGCTAGCAAGACTCTGTCCGACATGCTTGGACTTTCATGTTCTATTGCGTTGGGGCCTTGCTGAATTCGATTTGCTGTGGGCGAAGTCTGTATTCAGAGAGTTAGGGAGGAAGAGCGGGAGAGAAAAAGAGACATTAATGTCTGTTTTGTTGCATGTCCAGGCATGAACTCGAGCTAAACCAGTTCCACGTGTCAGAAGGAGATGCGCCGAATGTGGAGTAGTGGTGTAAAATGTTTGAATCCAAATCAAAAATAGATTTAGACTTTTCTTTGTCAAACAAAATAATAAAATAATAATTTGCTTAATGAAATAACGTCTCCAATTATAGCAAAAACAGAACAAAAGCGGAAAAATTGCCGTTTTCAGTGTAGAACGGATGCACAGTAGGGAACATCTCTGTATAAAATAATAATGAAGCTGAGAGCCGATCAGAGTTAATTATCTTCAGCGAAGCTCGTTCTGCTCGTTAGTTTGTGCTGATGATGAACGTGATTCATTCACGTGACGTTACTGAGTAGGATGACCTCATGAGGGTCATTTCAGGACGCCGGTTTGTCACATTAATGACAGATTTGAGTCACTTAACTAAACGAGTGTGAACCATCGTGTCAGAGAGATTGGATTTGATTAAAAAATCTGATTTGAGAAACGAGGCTTATAATGTTAATGTAGCTTTAATGACTGTTTTAGCTGTAAATTAAAGAAATGAAGGATCTCTGAGTTTTGCACAGTACTGTATATTGTATGTGTGTGTTATCAGCAGTGTTCAGTTTCCACCAGCATGTTGTTTGGCAGTAACAGAACATCTCTTTCGAGGTCCTGTTGTGACTTAATGCGTTTGGGATCCATCTACCGCATGGTTCCCCTACTGCATCCCAGCCAAATGAGACCCAGACAGCAGGGACTCATCTGTTCCATGAGCTGCTGTGTCTGCTGGTTCTCTAACTGTTTGTTTGGGTTGAGTGTTTGAAGTGTAATGGGTTTATGATGGGTAATCAGCGTGCCATGGAACCGCCTGCGTGAGGTTTGTGCAAGGGACGTCCAGGCCGAATGTTAGAAGCATGGACTTTGTCTATCATGATGGAATTGTGATTCCTGATGGAGTCTTTAAGTCTGAGTGAAGCACGAATGCTTGAATGCACGTCATACTTTATTGATCCGACACGGGAAATTGGTCATTCTGCTGCCAAACTATGCCCAGTCTGGGAGCAGCACAGCAACAACAGGGGCAGGGGCTTTAAACCCACAACCTTCTGGCTGCTGGCTCACTTCTCCTACAACTAGTCCAGGCAACGCAAATATCAAGAAGAGCTATTTTGTCCTTTCAACAAAAATCAAACCACCTTGGGAGCCTCATGTCTATTTTACCATCTTGGCTGTAAATATGTCTCAGTATGTGCTGATGTACTAGTATAGGCTAAAAAATGCAATCTAAACAACAAACTCAGACTTACTTTTGCTCTGCTTTAATCTTTAGCTCAGCTATAGCTGCTTTTCTCGCATCTCCAGCAGGAAACTTTTCCGCAAAAGTGGATCAGTTTCTTGTAAAATGTCTCTCAATGTTCGACTTTTTACGAGGCTGAAAGTCGCTTCTCATTCCAATTTTCCTGTTCCACTATAAATGGTGCCAGAATGTTACTGCTGCACCATTTAAGGTGGAACGGGACAGTTCAAAGGAGAAGCTGGCGAATGAGAAACTGACTTCAGTTTTGTGACTTTTTAGTGTTTGTCAGTTTCTGGTTGCAGATTAAACGTATCAGGAAACCAGCTGGAGTGATTATAAACACAAATCAGTCGATTCGTCTCCAAATTATCAATGTTCATCTTAAATCTCTCTCTTTGCCGTTTCGTTAGCTACTAGCTAGGCGAGACTGTTGTCTGTGTTGCTATGGTGACCAGCAGTCTGCGCTGATCTTCAGGGTTAAAGGGTGAATTAGCAGTTCTACATTAACTCCAGAGTTTAAGACCATTTATTGTTAAACTGTGTTGAACGATCAGCAGAGCTTTATTTTACTGTAAAGGAGGATTATTTTATTTTCTGTTTTATTTTCAATCATTGCTTTGGTTTTTATTTACATTTTGCGTTTACATGCACTCAATAATTCGATCATAATCGGATTTCTGCAGTTATCTGATTATTCAAATGGTCACGTAAACACCATAGTCCGATCTAGAAATCCGATTAAGAAATCTGATAAAGAGCCTGGATTTTAGCGCAGTAATCAGATTTCTCAGTGCATGTAAACTCTTACTCTGATTTCTATTGGATTTCTCAGTCTAAGAAATCAGACGGTGGATGTCGCGAGACGCAGCAAAACACTGTTGGAGCGGCGCTGAAACCAAACACAAAATAAAGGATTTAACTATTCTTCATCTTCTAGATGATGTTTGTTCATAGTTTCAGGTAAAGTGGCGCGATGTTTAAAAAAGCTGCTGTATGAAGCTTGATGTATTTGCGTCACGTCTTCTGTGAGTTTATTGGCTGGTTGTAAAGCAGAAATCTGATTACTGTCTGACTCCTGTAGACCTGGAGGTTCCCCATTATCTGATTACTCAAGAGCATGTAAACATGTTGATCGGATTACTGACTAAATCTGATTTTAGCTGTTATCGGATTATTAAGTGCATGTAAACACACTCAATGTAATAAATGTCTACCATCTTCTCTTTCTCCAGTGTCTGGAACCCTGCAAGGCATCATGGGACCTGAAGGAGAACCAGTGTCAAGACCTGTGTGAGGTACGTCTGCCCAATGTCCCAGCACAGAAAACTTCACGCACTGAGGTGCATCTCAGTGTTACTTGCAGAGACGGGATCATGAGCAAAAATATTGGCACCCTTGCAGTTTTTCCAGATGCTGCACCGGTTCTTCCAGAAATTTGTTGAAATTAAAATGTGTTGTTATTCGCATTTGTATTCCCTTGGTTTGCAATTAGAACAACACAAAAAGCAGAAAAAGCTGACCTTATTACACACAGAACTCTGAAAATGGACTGGAGGATATTGTTGGCACCCTTTGCGAAGTCATAACAGATTGGAGTTTCAGGCAGGTAAACTTCCTTTAATTTCTAAGTGAACAATTTCACAGAGAAATTTGAGTCAACCTTTGAGTTGTGTACCACGTGAGCATGGAGAAACTGAAGAAGAGGACAGGATTGTCTGGGGACTGAAAAACAAAATGGTAGGAAAGCATGACCCTGTCCGTCTCCAGCTAACCTGTAGCTAACCTCTGTGGATGCGGACAGAAGAGGGAAAGTCGATAAAAGATTGTATGGATGGTGCAGAAAGATCCTCGATCGTCTTCCAAACAAGTTCAAGCTGAGTGTCGGAGGCCCAGGAGGAGCCCACTGCTGACACAGAGGCATAAAAAAGCCAGCCTGGAATTTGCGAAAACTGGCTACCGTATGAAGCCAAAATCCTTCTGGGAGAATGTCCTGTGGACAGATGAGACCAAAATAGACCTTACTGGTGAAGCACAGCATTGTTCTGTTTACAGAAAAGAAAACGAGGCCTTTAAAGAAAAGAGCACATGGAGGAGGTTCACAGATGTTTCGGGTTGCTTTGCTACTTCTGGAATGTGTGCATGGCATCATGAAGCACCACCAAGAACTATGAAGCAGAGCATAGTTGGACTGCATAGTAGCGCGGGACTGCTCTGAAGTGGCCACCAATGAGTCCAGATCTCAATCTCATAGAACACCTGTGGAGAGATCTCAGAGCAGCACTCCTCGTTTATTAGGGATCTGGGGCAGATTGCAAAAGAAAAGCGGTCCAAAATTCCAGAGAGGTGCAAGAAAGTTGTTCATGGCCATAGAAAGTGCTCCACTTCAGTTATTCTTTCCAAAGGGTGTGCTTTGGTGTGAAATGGCTCAGATGTCTTTACAGTGGTGGTGATAGGAACCAGGGGTCGCCATGACTACAACACAGAAATTTAGACATTTTATTTACTATCCAGAACCACCAGTGAACCTACACGAGTCTTCTGAGTTTATATGGAATGTTGATGATGGAAAATAGTGGAAAATCTGAAATAATATGTTTTCTCTGGGGACTATTCTGCCTCACAGTGTCTCAGTCATCAGGCAGTGAATTCATAACCATTTCATGTAGTAACTTTCTGTGAGGGAGCTTTTAGAGGTGGACGTCTGGTTCCTATCACCACCACTGTGAACGATTCTGACTCTGTAACTTTAGAAAAATTGGTGGAGTTCCCCTTTAGCAATGTCAATTACTTTATAAAAAATTATACATGTTTTGATTACTAGCATAAGCTGCTCATGAACATTAAACTATATTGGTTTATTAAGATGTTATTCAATGTTTATACCAGCCTTCAAATAAAGCTCTACCTAATGTGCTGTCCAAAATGTAATACCCCCCCCCCAAACAAGCCTCACTGACCCCACCCCCTGATTATTCCTCTCTCTCTCTCTCTCTTTCTGTCCAGACTCTGTTTCCGAAGAAACATTACGAGTGCCTGACGAGTTGTGAGTTTTTGCGCAGTGTGGAGGCGGTGAAGCAGGGCGACTGTCCGGCTCCAGACCGGGCCAGCGGATTTGCCGCTGCTTGTGTGGAGAGCTGCGAGGAGGACGCAGAATGCCCCACCCACAGGAAGTGCTGCCCTAATGGCTGTGGACACACCTGCCAGGTGCCCAGGAACCTCTATAAAGGTATGTACATGCCCTGTATGACAATACATATATCACAATACAGTGCTTTCATAAAGTCTTACTGCCACTTAAGGCCTAATATAGTGAAATGGAAGGACCTAGAAGCAACAATAGCTCAGCCATGAAGCGGTAGGCAGTGCAAACTCACAGAGCACAGAAATTGTGCATCAGGAGCTTCATGAAATGTGTTTCCATGGCTGAACAGCTGCACACAAGCCTAAGATCACTATGCGCAATGCCAAGAGTCGGCTGGAGTGGTGTAAAGCGCCGCCACTGGACTCTGGAGCAGTGGAACCGTGTTCTCTGGAGTGATGGATCAGCTTCTCTATCTGTCAGTCTGATGATGAATCTGGGTTTGGTGGATGTCAGGAGAACGTTACCTACCGGAATCCACAGAGCCAACAGTAGAGTTTGGTGGAGGAGGGATGATGGGCGGGGCTGTTTATCAGGGTTTGGGCCCCTCAGTTCCAGTGAAGGGTGATGTTGATGCTGCAGCACAAAGACATTTTACACAGTTATCTGCTTCCAGCTTTGTGTCAGCAGTTTGGGGAAGAGCCTTTCCTGTTCCAGCATGACTGAGACCCTGAGCACAAAGCAGCTCCATAAAGACATGGTTTGATGAATTTGGTGTGGAGGAACTCCAGTGGCCTGCACAGAGCCCTGACCTCAACCCTACTGAACACCTTTGGGATGAAATACATAGATATATAGTATGATATAACTATAGATATATAGTTATACTATATGCAGAAGTGGCCAAATTCCATGTTTTGCTGATTTTGTGAAAATACACATCCCCTACAATGAACACACTTACTGTTTATTTGCTGAGTTTAACATATTGGGGGGAAAAAAATAAATTATGGCACATTTTATATGTTTTTTTCCAGTATATTAAACTCAGCAAAATAAATAGAGACATTGCTCACTAAACTGTGTTCTCTGTAGAGGATGTGACTGATGGCTCATTTCACCTACAAATTCAACAAATCGTGTGTAATTTGACCAGATCTAAACCTTTTTTATGCAAGACAGGATAAAATTTGTGAGCTAACGAGACTGATGACTCAGACTGGACCTCTGAGCGGATATAAAGTTGCCCCGTTGTTAGCGGAGGCCAAAAAGTCTCGTTTTGTAGCCAGCTGGTCTCCACACTGAATACACCTCGAATTTTTTATATAATTGTCTGTCAGTGTTGTGTTGAGTGAGCGACAGTTTCCTGCTGTGCGAGTTTGAGCTGCAGACTGATCTTCAGCTCTCTGACTGCCTTTGGCATCGCCGCATGTGCCACTGTGAACCGTTATTACACTGAAAACATTTAGCTTGGCTGATGGTGCAGCAGGAAAGTGTAGCCCTTTGTTTTTACACTAATAGTCTGCGTTTGTGTTTTCGACGCCTGCTGCGTGTGTTTTTGTTAGCTTTGTTAATTTCTTATCTCTCACACTACTGTTTGTGTGGGCCGCATTCGAGCGTCCGGCTTCGCTGAGAAAGCGTTTTTAACCCTCATGAATTATGCATGAATTATTACTTACACATGATAAATGTTTTAATGTGTTATTTAAAATTGCTTAAATGATGGAAAACTTAAAATATATATATATATATATATATATATATTTTTTTTTAAATCGTAACATAGCACCATAAAATCTAAAAAAAAACACCATAAAATCAGATTTTTCTCTAAAATCATCCTTTTCCTGAAAACAAGACCAAACAAATCCAACTTATACTTAATGAAACGTACGACTCAAAATTTACAAATATTGTAAATTAATACAATTTCAATTGGTGTTTGGAATATATGGTAATAACAACATCATAATAAGAATTCCTGATCATGTGATATCATACAATAGTTGTCCTTTCAAAGTAAAAGACCCCTTTTCCACATCTACATAGGTAAACACAGAATTTATATGACTGCTTTTTAGTAAAATTGAGATAAACTAATTGTGGCCATATGGCAACACCATGAAATAGAGGGTTAAAACTTCCTTTTTGGGTAACTCAGTTGATGCCCTTAAGGTTAGAATCAGCGCAAGAATCTCAAAGATTGTACTTTGATGGTACTGATTTCTTCAGTGTTCCACATTATTGCAGAATATTTTAAAATGATTAAAATTAAATCCTTACATGTACATTTATATTGTATTTTATTTATAGGTTTGTGTATGCTACGCTAGCAGCTCTGTTCGCGTACTCAACAGCATAACGTTTGCGTATTTGTAGGAGTAAAAACTGCTTGTGTCTGCTTGTGACCGGGTCAGGCCTGGAAAACATTTTTTGTTTCGCTTGTTTTTATGTCGAACTGTAAAATGTTTGCGATTTCATGCCAACCAGCATATTTATCGCTATGAACATATGTTGTGTTAGCCTCTCTTTAAAACTGGCCATTGTCATGATTGTTGTCATGGTTTGTTCAGTCCGCTGCTGACGTCAGGTCACATCGTGGTATACTGCCCCCTAGCAGGTATGCGGGTATTGCATCTTGTGGAAGCGTCGTGTTCATTTCTGAGGACCTGCACTACCACCAGTCTAAATGAGCGCAGGGTATCTTGTGCATTTTTATTGGCACCATTAAGGTCTGTGATAACAGGGCAGATTGAATTGCCTTTAGCGAGCTCAAAATAAACTATATCACTAACTATTAGCTTGAAAATACTTTAAATGTGATTGTAATTCTAACTCCGAGTGTTGTCTCCCGGGGCTTTATTACTATATATTAATATTACTTTATTACTACATATTAATATTACAGGACTTTATTTATTTCTCTTATTCTCTAAGAGCTTTTCAAAACACAAATGCTTGCAATTGGCTGTAAGTTGCTATTTACATTACTTTTATTTTGCAGTTTGCAGTAGTGATTTTTTTGTAGTTTTGCTACTGTTTGCCAAGTGGAGGTTACAGTAGTGCTGTTTTTGCCAAGGGCCCATTGGCAAAGATTCGGCTTTGACACAGCTTTTTATAAATATTGCATATTGCGCTGTATTATTCCTGTATTGCACTGCCACTTGTTTATACACCCAGGCATATTGCACAACTATTAACATATGTTATTGTTTACAGTGTTTACAGTGTCACTCGGTTCATTCACTGGATGTGACATGCACCACTGCATTATAATCTGCATAATATTTATGCGATTTTACTAACTTATTTTTGTACAGCACATCATATTTTATGGTTGTTTTAGTATATTTTGTTATATATCTTTACTTCTTCTATTTATGGATCTGTATAACAGCGCATGGCAATACTTTTGCTATCTATCTATCTATCTGTCTGTCTGTCTGTCTATCTATCTATCTATGTATCTGCCTGTCTATCTATCTATCTGTCTGTCTGTCGTCTGTCTGTCTGTCTGTCTGTCTATCTATCTATCTATCTATCTATCTGTCTGTCTGTCTGTCTATCTATCTAACTATATCTGTCTGTCTGTCTGTCTGTCTATCTATCTATGTATCTATCTGTCTGTCTGTCTGTCTATCTATCTAACTATATCTGTCTGTCTGTCTATCTATCTATTCATCTATCTGTCGGTTGTCTGTCTGTCTATCTGTCTGTCTATCTATCTGTCTGTCTGTCTGTCTGTCTGTCTATCTATCTATCTATCTGTCTGTCTGTCTGTCTATCTATCTAACTATATCTGTCTGTCTGTCTATCTATCTATTCATCTATCTGTCGGTTGTCTGTCTGTCTATCTGTCTATCTATCTATCTGTCTGTCTGTCTATCTATCTGTCTGTCTGTCTATCTATCTATCTATCTATATCTATCTGTCTGTCTATCTATCTATCTGTCTGTCTGTCTATCTATCTGTCTGTCTGTCTATCTATCTATCTATCTATATCTATCTGTCTGTCTATCTATCTATCTGTCTGTCTGTCCGTCTGTCTGTCCATCTATCTATTTATCTATCTGTCTGTCTGTCTGTCTGTCTGTCTGTCTGTCTGTCTGTCTGTCCAGCTAGGTCCAGACACAATAAATATATCGCTGCTGTCGGAAGAAAACCTTGTGTCTCCATTTATGTTGTTTCTTAGTTTTTGACAGAATTTGAAAATGCCTGTTACGCTTTACTTTGTACGTCAATTTCATGATGAATGGACCAAAAGAAACGGCCCAAAATGACTTGGAAAGACTTCTGGTTCCATTGACTTACAGTAAAAGTAAAGTATGTTTTTTCCTTCTCCTGTAAAGTAGCATTTTGGAGATATGGGGTTTTCCTCCGAAAACAGTGATATATTTCTCTAATAAACTTTGTACATCGTCCACTGAGTGGAAAAGACCTCATGTAGATGATGACGGTCCTCATCACAATCCAGCTCTGGACCGGTTAGTTTTAGCTCAGTAGCTCATCTGAAGAGGCAGCTTCCGTTACTCATCTAATAAGAAAACCATCCCATTTCCCTACTTTATTATTGGATCATAAAACTTTTCAGATTTTAACCACCAGTGTTATCAAAGTAAGCTTACAGCCAAGTCAAGTGACTCGAATATGAAGGTTAGTCTCTAGTAGATTGATGCTCCTTTCATCCACATTGAAAGGCCATGGGGTTCAGATGATTCCCACGTAGTAACACAGATGGCATTGCTTCTACATGTGGAACAGGCTAGAACTTTGCTTCACCCTTTGCGCTCTTTATTATGTGGAATGCCTGTTCAGGGATGGCTCGTTATTGCTGTCAGATTTGCTGCTTTCTCCCTCATTTGCAGGTAGGTCATAAAGGCCTTGATTGGATTCCAGGCCCGGCCGCCGTTCGCTGGAGAGCGCCCGTTATTAGCTCATTGTGGGGAGAGTGTAATTGTTTCTACGTGTGCCTCGCTCTTCGGGGGGGAGGATGGTCCAGGTTGCTGGAAACCATTAACCTCGCTGTGAGTCGGGGGCCAAATTGAGCGTTGCGTCGCTGGCGTTCCAGATCGCTGTCAGATGTTCCTGCAGGTGGGGAACCACAGTCTTGGTTAAGCCCTGTGCGTGTGTCCCTGACCGCAGGCCGA